CTGGGAGTTGAAGTAAGGTCGCTGACGGGAGGCTGCAGAGAGGTACCGTGGTAGTGCAAGCTGCCTTGGTCCCCTGTCTGCGAGTGACAGCCCCGGGGGAGCGCTGCGGCTGAGGAAAGGCACCCAGCAAAGAACTAGTGAAGTGGAGACAGGCCTAGCTTTGGGGAAGCAAAGGGGCCTAGGTGCCAGCTTGCCTGGTGCGACCAGTGCTGGGGAGGTGGGCGCACGGGGCACAACTGGGGGGCCCGGTCCTTGCAAGGGAAAGCTGCCTGGATGGCTGGCCACATGCCTGACGCCGGTGCCAACAGCCCCCTAGACGGGACCCAAACGGCTGCAGCTTGTCCCCTTGGGCTAAGCACCGAGCTGGCCGCGGAAACAAAGGCCAGCCTGTTCCTCTCTGGAAGGCCAGCCCCGGGGGCTGCTCCCAGTTCAGCCCGTGACAGTGGCGCTGCTCACGGGAAGCCGCTCCGCAGCCCCCGTCCAGCCACGCAGAGCCGGGACGCCCGGGAGGGGAGCGCGGCCGGCGCGGATCGGGTGCGAGCACAGGCCAGAGAGGAAGTGGGAAAGCAGCCAGAGCGGAGCGCGGCAGAGGAAGCGGGGAGGGGGCCCAGCAGGCAGGGGGGCTCCAGCTGCAGCAGGGACATGGTCTGTGCTCTCCTTGTCCGGTTCCAGACAACGGGCCCGGCGGAGTTGGCTCTTCCAGGAGGCCGCGGGAGCATCCGAGCGCTGGGGCATCGCCAGCCTCAGTCCTTTGCAGGAACGGGGCAGCCGGGAACGATTTGGCACGACGGCGGCAGCTGGTAGGGACGTGGTTTGCATTGCACGGGGGCAGGCCTGCATTCGGCAGGCTCCCGCTAGCACGCGGGGCCACGTTGCACTGCCATAGCCCTGGGCTGGCAGGGGCCGGGGCCCTGGGCCTGCGCTGATGCAACGGGCCGGCACCGCCGGGTGCCCGGGGCTGCCCGTGCGCTCGCAGTCCCAGTGGCGGGGCACCCTCTTGTGGCCTCTCGTGACAGCGCCGTGGGGGGTCAGGTCTGAGAACTGGCAAAACTCGTGCACAGGCTTCCTCCCCCCCCTTGCCTTCCAGGGCCGGAGGATGGACCAGTCGGTTGCTATTCAGGAGACGCTGGCAGAGGGGGAGACCTGCCTGATCGTATCCTTTGTGTGGGCCTGGCCCGTAGAGAGGGGAAAGGGATGCTACGCAGGGCCGTGGGGACGGGACTCTTCCCGGGGACCAAATCAGCCTCCGCGTCCCTGCTCTTGTTGTAGGGCGCTGGCGTGGGCGCGGTGCTAACAGTATCGACCCACCCTCTGGGGTCCCCAAATTGAGCAAAGCCTCCTCCGCCCACCGCAAAGACCCCAGCCCCGTGGCAGCTCCCTGCGTGCAGAGCAAGGCGGAGGAAGCAGAGTAGCGGGGCAGAGCCGAGGATCCAGGACAGAGCTGAAATAGCAGGGGGCGTTTTAGGAGGCTGGTGATGCAGCCCCTGCCGAGTCAGGAGCCCAGCCCGCCTCGCACGGCTCCAGCAGCTGCGCTCATGATTCCTTGACCACGAGCCGCAGGCGGTGCAGGGAGTCCTGGTGGGCGTCGAGAGCGTGGAGAGCCGGCTGCTGGGCCTCGTCCGGAGCCACGGAGAGCACGCGTAGGTGCTTGAGACCCCGCTGGCCCGAGCACCCTCTTGGTGGCTGCGTGAGAAGCCGAAAGGCCGTGGAGCGGTGCGAATGCACCTCCTTGGGCTGGGTTTTGGAGGGGCAGTGGGGAAGGAAGCTGCATCTCACTCCGGGATCTAGAAGCCCCGGCTCCAGGGCCCTTGCTTGGTGCTTTTCCGCAGCAGATGATGGGGTCGTTTACCAAAGGTTAAGCAGGCCGGCGGGCCAAGGGATGGGTGGGAGCTGCAGGCGGCTGCGCGAGCAGGGGACCACGCTGCTGGGACGGGGCAATTTGGGATCCTGCTGGGGGCTGCAGCAGAGGTGGCGTTACCCGGTGCTCTGTGCCCGCAGGATCTTCGTCTACACCCACCGGCGGATGGCGATCACGGCGGAGGATGTCTGCCTGGAGAGAGTCCTGCCCATCGCCGAGGGGTTTGCTGTGGAGGAAGGTACGGCTCCGCGCTGCCTGGAAGGGGGCTGGGTCGCTTGCGGGGGCCGTGGGGGTGAACGCTCTTCTGCATGCGGCTCTGCTCCCCATAAGCTGGGCTTGCTCCCTTTCTCGGTGACTACCTCCGACTCGCCGCTCCCTAACCCGGCGCCTTTCCTTTCCTGACAGTGACGCCTGACAGCGACCTTCGTGTCATCGGTGAGTCTCCGTCCGGGGTTGCTCTAACTTCTGCGGCAGCCCCGACTTGCAATAAAGACGCCCAGAGCCTCGGGGCGCAGCCGGGCTCTGCGGTCTGGAGGAGCCCGACGCTGGCTCGCGGGACGGGGTCCGGGTGGCCGCCGGACCATCGGGGACTCTGCTGCTCCGGCTTGGACGTGCTTTTGGGGCCTGGCCGGGTCGTAAGCCTGGGCCCTGCGTCCAGCTCGGGGCGGGCTCCCACTCCCCGTCCCGTGTGCCGGACGCTCGTCCCGTTTTCGTGCCGAAGCAGCCGCGTCCGGCTGGCACGCGCGGGCTCCCGTGCAAGACCGTGGGCTCGTGCTTATCAAACGCTTTG